CACCTCTATAAGTCAGACTTGGGTAGGGAAAGCTTATACAGAAAAATGGGGTGTGTATCTTAACATTCAACTATGGTTACAACAGATTCTCCTAATAGGAGCTCTCATTAAGGAAGATTCACACTTTATTTTTCTATTATAAGAATGATTACAAATGTAGAAGTAGATATCTCTAAAAGTAGAGTATGAAAAAAGGATTATAACTATGAAAGCTAGTGTTTTGATTCCTCTTTTTGATCTTGCTTGCTTAAATATGTACCCTTGGTCTTTCTTATATAGCTACTAGAATAGATCGGTTATGGGTAGCTTAGCTTTTAACTAGTGTTGGCAATTTCAATGTTGTCAGCAAGTCCCTCAAAATTTGTTTCCTTTTGAGTTACCTTTTGTGCTTCCTTCTGAGTCTCCTTCTAAGTAACTCTCTCTTCAAACCTTTTGAATAAAGTCTTCATTACCAATCTTCCAAGAAGTTGAGTTTTAACTAAAGCTTCCTAATGAATGATTAAAAGAGATGGACCTCTTAACTAAGTCTTCAAGGCATCTTCCTTGAGAAAAAATGTTTATCTTGAACCCCTTTGATAAGCAGTGAAATTTGAAACTAAGAGTTTGTCATTATTAAAACATATATTAAAGTAGGATTCAACATTTCTTATTAATTAGTGAAAGTAGGTACATGACAATTGTCAAATATGTCAATATATTTTACTCAATTTAGACAATTATCAAGCATATCTTATACTTTAGAGTCTTGTTTTGTTAAAAATAAGTACTCTAAATTTGTTTTGATTAATTAATAGTTTTTTTTTTTAAGTTTAAGGTGTTTTTGATGTTTTTTTTTGTTAAGCTTTGAGACACAAGAGAAAAAAGGAAGGAGTAATGGCCAACAAGGGACTTAAGGAAGCAATTGAACAAGTCAAGCTTGCTTAAGCAAGACAAGACCAAAAACAATCAAAACATTAGGAGCTCTCACTCAAAGCAAGAGTGAAACACTCTTTGAGCAACCTGATGCTTGCACAAGCGAGTCACCTCAACAGCTTAAGGGAACAGGAGTTGAGACACTACTAGGAACACTCAAAGTACTCACTCAAGCGAGCCAATTTGTCCATTTTGATCAAGTGGACATCAAAGTCCACTTTGGATCTATCAACAAGCTCGTTAAGCGAGGTTGACTAAAAGAAAATTGATTTGAATTTTTAGAAAAATAATGTTTGAGAAAAAGTAAAGGCACTTCATATTAATTTGATTGGCTTATTTCAAAGAGATTAAAGAGAGCAAAAGTGATCTCAAAGTTTTTGAATGTCTCCTTTTATAACTTTGTGCAATTTCTTTAGTCATGAATGACTAAGCCTCCTATAATTAAGGATTGATGTAACTTTCTTATTCCATTAAATTCTTCATGTTCTTATTCAATAAATATTTATTCAGTTAATTATTTTTATTCTTCTCTTAATGCTTGTTGTGACATGATTATCCATTGCATGCTTTTATAATTTTATCTGAAATTGAAAAACTCCTTTAAAAATATATATAATTTGGGTAAAAAACTCTATTAACATTTATCATTAAGGATATGATAAGAATTATAAATCAATTTTCAAGTCTCTAATCTTAATGCGGATAAATTTTACCAAAAAATCGAGATTCTTATAAGAAATCTAATATTTCTCTCCTAAAGAAGTATGACTTAAATAAATTTGTTAATTGTTGAATTAGATTAATAATTGCTAAAATTAAATAAAAATTAAAAATCATACATATGAGAAAGGCTAATAAAGTCAATCTTTGACACCTCTTATCATAAATTTTCAATCATTTCTTAAATCAATTTTCTATTGTTTTTTTCATAAACCCTAAAATTACTTTCTTAATTTTTATGCGTTCTTTAAACAATTTTCTAAATTCATCTTATTAGTATTGAAATTCTATTAATTAGTTATAGAATAACTTCTTATGAATTCAATACTTAAACTTTTATATATTTATTATTTATGATAATCGGTATATTTGTCGCAAGTCGATCTTTCGATATATTAAAAAAGTCATTTCAATTTCCAATCCACCTGTCAAAATTATAGATATATTTTAACTTTGGGATATCGAGGGCATAGAGTATATTAATTAATATGAAATTAAAAATAATAATACGAAAATACCGATATGCAACCATCGTTTTAGAATATTATTTTCATAAAGAATTGTTCATTTCCTACCCTCCTCTCATCTTCTCTACCTCCAAATATATATGCTCTGCACTCACTGACTTTGGCTCATGGCACTGCATCCAATTCAATTCTTTATGAAGTTGATTTTGGATCTTTTAGAGAAATAAAAGAAAATATGGAGAACAACCCCTACGACGACTTTTACTGTTCAGCCTCTTACTCAGACCAGTCAACAATGGCTCCACCTCCGCCGTTTGAGAAGGAGGAGGATGTTTCAAAACCACTATGTGCTAAAGTTGCTTCTCACCCTCTCTTTCCTCACCTCCTCCATGCATACATCGATTGCCAAAAGGTCATAATCATATATATAAAATAAAATGTTAATCATATATACAAGTTTCCAATTTTCAAGTATCATATATAGAGAGAGAGCTAGTACCCTCTTTCAATTTGTTTTCTTAAATTAGTTACAGTGTGGTACTTTGCTAAGTTGATTATCTTGTGTTTTTTTTTATTATGATTAGTTTTGTGCTTGAATTTTCAGGTGGGAGCGCCACAAGATGTGGCACACCTATTAGAAGGAATCAAAGGAGATCATGTGATATCTGATGGCTTCTTGGATGATGATCCCGAGCTCGATCATTTCATGGTCTCTTTCTTCTTCAAAACATGATCATTATAGCTAAATCACAAACCCTAATTAAGTTTCTCAATTTTGGGTTGACCATAACTGTTTATTCTTTTAAACTTCAATTTTAAAATAGAAATATATTGTATTAAATGATTATAATGATCTCACCCCGTTTTTATTCTCAGCTTATTATTTTGCTTGTTATGTGCATTGAAGGGAGCGTTTTGCGATTTGTTGGTGAAGTTCAAATCGGATCTTGCAAGGGTTTTTGACGAGGCAACCATGTTCCTCAGCCACATGGAAACGCAGCTTCACTCCATCTGCAACGACCCTGCTGCCACAAACAACACTCCTCAACCTGGTCTCTCATCTCTCTCTCTCTCTCTTGATGCCTATATATCTATGATTATTATCTGTTCTTGTCTTCATCTATTCTCTAAATTTTGAAATCGAGACATGTGTTGAGGATCAGGTTCAAGTTCACAAGGTTTTGCAGTTTGCAGTTTGCACTAAATAAAATAAGAGAAATTGATGAATTTTTGTACAACGAAAAAAGAGAAAGAGAGAACAGACATAGAAAATTAAAGTGTATTAAATGAAGTGATAAAAATAGATAAACACAAATTAAGATGAATTGTTGTACATATATTATTTCTTATAAAATATAATATGAGAAACTAATTAACATTCATAAAATAATAGGAGATTAAGGTTCGCAGGTTAGCCTAACCAAAAGGTCCTAAAGCACGTTTAAGGAACTGGCTGGCTCACATGGCAGCACTGTAGTCACGTGCTTATGTTTGCTTTGATAGCCATGTTGTACGTACCTCTTTGCTTGCTTCCTTCATGATAAGATTTGCCCTCAAGGCTAGTTGACTGAGAAAGCTGTTTCAGCTAATCATATACCAACAAGAATTTTTTTTAATGAGATTGTTGTCGATTTTTTCACATCTTAGTACTACAAGAAAATTGTTATATAGTAATACACATCTTATAGTTACACAATATGTGCCATTAAAATTACTTTTACTCACATAATAAATATCATATATGTTGGTATATTGTTAAAATAATGAGGGTATAAACTATTGTGATACATAAAATATGTTGTTAAATTTCATTCAAATTCAACATTAAAATTGTATGTAACTATATGTTAAATAAATATATACCTACATATATTATACCTATAGCGACATTTTTTATATGTCATTATATATAACATTTCTTATAGTGTAGTTATACTATCAGAGTATAATTTAAACTTTAAAGCCACAAATAATGATAATTGGTGATATATATGTCCGGAGGACTATAGTAACAACCATTACAAATTGACTACACACAGGTGAAGCCCCTACGCCCTAGCTATATATATAATACATCCCTTCATTCAACCAATTAGTGATGTTTATTAACTGGTGAAGTAGGTATGCTTCATGTCAAAAGAAAGGTTCCAATCTTGAGGAAACCATTTCCCTTCATGCATATATAGTAGTACCAAATTAACCTGCATTATGTATATGACATGCACTTTTAAAAGAGTAATATGTTATTTATATAATAAAATTTACAATTTTTATACATGCATGTACACTTTTTCTTTCTATTTCCTTCCATCATATTAGGTATCTTTTTCCACATTTCTTACTCTTTCTATTGTCCCTCATCCTTTTGTTAAAAATGTTATAAAATTTTACTGATAACATTACTCTTTTCACAATTGCAATTTAGCAGAAGAGCCTGATCACTCCATACTAGCTAAGAGGGAAGAGAAACCTGAATTCTTTTCAGTATAAATAGACTAGTTTGTTCGTGTTTATTTGACATCCTTTCACTGAAACTATGTTGGATTTGTGTGACAGTTAATCGTGTCTGCGTTTCTTACTGGTACTTATGTCACATATATTCGTCGATCGATTCCAATTTGTTTCTGCTCCTGTGGTTTTCAGTATATGATATTTCATGTCAGTTTTTTTTTTTTTTGTCATGAAATAATTGTTACAGATATTTAGCTTAATGACCCTCTTTGATAATAGATATTTAATCTGGTGCTTATTTAATGACCTTCTGTGTTTTTAATTATTAAAAAATGATAGTATATACCAAGAAAAACTTTAACTGAATTTATTTTGAATTTACTAGGATTCAAGGGCAATGATTAAATAAGTCAAAATGGTAAGAAGCATTTATGTATTCAAGAGTAATTAACAATTGAAATTTAAGGAGAAATATGTCTATCTAATATTTTCTTAGAATTTCACATCAGAGTTTTATGTCCGCAAGGTGCTTGTTTATTTTCTTTTATTAATGAGCTCATTGCAAACATAATTTCAATTAAGGTAAATTGCTCTCTATCGATGTGCCCAAAAATAATACGCTTTATCGTTTTATAGTAGTATACTCTTTATTAAACAATCAATTTTCAGTAATACTTTTTTATTAACATAAATAATTAATTATAAAAATGGATAAGAGGTGAATAAATTAAATATATAATTCACAATCAATATCAATATGATGAAAATGCATATTAGAAGCTTGCACAAATTAAAATGCATAAAAACCATAATTAAGAATACAGAATACTGCTGACAGCGTAACTTTTTGTTTCGTTGAAAAGAAAATAGAAATTTTTTTTGTCTCTTTTAATTGCTTTACATATTTTATGTTAGTAAGTACTATTGTGTGAAATAATATCTCTTTGCATGTCCCAAAATTATTCCGCGAGGCCCTATAGAATCTATTAGGCTTTCCTTTGAGAAAAATCTACGTGAAATTAATCAATACATACCATTCAATCAGTTTCTGATTGCTATAATAGCAAAATGATAAGAAAAATGCTAATTAATTCAGCAAAAGAAAATGATAATTAGTGGGGAAAATATTACGGTAATCAATGGATTATATATTTTGGTTAAGGAGATAAAAGTAGACAAAGAAGAGAACATTTACAAACTCTTGAAGCTCACTTGAATTGACTTTATGGCTTGTGTATGCTTTAGTGTCTACAAGAATGGTATACTAATATTAATTACACTCCTCATGTTATATGTAATACAATAATTAAACTTATGCATTACGTTGAAACTTTAACTTCGTAAAGTTATACTCTTACAAACTAATGAGTTATTTTTTTGCTGATTGATGATTACTTCATTCATTTCTCTGTTTTTTTGCTTATGAAAATCAATGACCCGAACTCATCCTAGGATGGTCTGCAACACACTTTTTCTCATAAATAATTGGTAAATCTTTCATAGTGTTTGGTCATACTATATGAAAGGAAGGGAAGGAAAAGTGTGTCTATAATTTTTCCTTATTTAATTCAAAAACTTGGAGAGATAGAGAAAGAAGAAATAGAGAAATCAAAAATGCAATGCAGTCCTTCTCATTTTTGCCTCATCTATAATATTGTTGGTAAATTTAAAGATATAAAGTGATTTAATTATAACATTAAATTAATGCTAAATTTTCTTAAAATTATATGTTATCTCTCTTTTCTTTCATTAATATATTAATATTTAGAGAAAATAAGTTATGCATTAAAAGTGTAAAATTAATAATTTTACATGATAGTATAAAAGTTTTGACACTCATAATGCTCAAAGTATTATATACTCTATTTTGACTTTATTATTAGTTATATAACATAGTCTGGTGATAAGTAATTTAATAAACGTTAGTCTTAAAAATTATTAAAATAGACTTATATATATATATCCAATTAGT